GGAATGAAACCTAGGCCTCCTGTGCTCCACTGCACACCTTTCATCCCCAAGTCATTGCACTGGTTGCACCACAAAACTCATCTGAGTTCCATGAAACAAAGGGTGGAATTAATTTCTATATGTTCTAAAAACTGGAAAGATACCTAGCAACACTTTGATTAAAAAAAACCCCAAACTTTCTCTGTATGGAGTAACTCCTACCCTGAGGATTCAGTGTGCTTCCAAAGAATGCCAGAGTAACCCAAAACAAGAGCCAAGATGTCTCCAAATTCCAGTGTAGTATCTTAAACCACAAGGCCATCCCTTCACCAACATGATAAATAACTTCAGCATTTTATCTAATATGATAACAAAGATATTAATGATGTGAAAAAAATTAATTCAGATTTTAAAAGCATGATATTACACACATTTCATAAAAATATGTCAATAAAGCTGATTTACTGCCAGCATCTTTAGAGGTTATAGAATTAGCCAGATTTTAAGACTATTTGCAGCAGGTTTTCAGTAGCAGTTCATATTTCCCTTTCTGAGGTGCTGTTTGGTATTTAATGGTTATTCAGAAGTTCTGGTCCCTTCTAAAACTGAAATGAGGTTTTCTTGAGCCCTGTTCCTTTCCTCCTTAAAACTTTAATTTAAAAAGGCTTGAGTCCTTTCAAGTCTTTTCAAGTATCTCCTTCTTTCAATTGGACCAAGGTACCTCTTGGGTATTACTTTGACAGAATGAGGTTTGCTTAATGATCATAGCATTAAAACCTCTGAAGACATGCAGTAGCACACTGGGGAACATGGTGTTGAAATAAAAGGTGAAGCAGGGTTTCCTTCCTTCCTTCCTCCCTCCTTTTCTCCCTTCCTTTCCTTCCTTTCCTTCCCTTCCCTTCCCTTCCCTCCCTTCCTTTCCTTCCTTCCCTTCCCTTTCCTCCCTTCCAATACACATCCATAAGCTGTTCCTTAGACATCATCTTTATTATTCTGTCAATGGACCATCTGCCCCCAAATGGTTATTCCTTAGTCATTCTATGCCCAGTCTTTTTTATGTTAATTGTGAGACATTGCAAAAATCTTCATTTGTTTCCATGGTACAGAATAAGACCATCAAAGAACAACTCATCTCTCTAGAACTCCCCAGTCATTTAAAAATACTGCTGCCTGGCAAATTCAAAGCCATAAATGCACACAAAGCAAGCTCTTTCTTTCAGGTTTATCCCCTGGAATACATCAGTATAAAATGAGTGTGAAAAACTGGCAAATCAGTGCAACTTTTTACTTTTCCTCTTACTGGTGTAAACTCCCAACACCAGCCGCAGAGCTTCCAGTGACATGACCCTACCATGACATTGCCTTCTTGGTTGTACAGGCCACTGTCATCTTCGTTCCTCCCTTTTCATTGTCTAACTTTCCCCATCACTGCTAATTCCTATCAGATGACCTTAGATCTCACTCAGTATTACTCCTTCAAACTCTTTTGGTTCTTTCTCTGGGTCCAATACCATGAAGAATACTTCTGATCTGTTGCTGAATAAGTCAAACAAGTGTTCTACTCCCTGAATCCAAGCATGTTATGTATAAAAAAATCTGCCAATTTCTTATTAGATTTTTCCATATTTAATTATGCCTAACTGGCTGCAAACTGCATTTCACTGGTTCTGAGGTACTCAGTAAGTGCTCAGCAAATCATAAGACCATGGAAGAATTTAGATGGGAAGGGACCCTGGTAGATTTCTGGCCCAACCTCCTGCTTAAAAGAACGTCAGCTATGAGATCAGATCAGGTTTCTCAAGGTTTTATCTAGCTAGGGCTTGAAACCTTCCCAGGACAGAAACTGAGCAACCTGTTCCAATGCTCGACTATTCTCACGGGGAAAAAGTTTCTCCTGATGTTCACCTTGGCCGTTTGTTTCAGCTCAAATTTGGTGTCTCTCACACATCACTGTGAAGGGTCAGGTTCCATGTTTTTGACAACCTTCTTCTACACACTGGGGGCTGCTGCCAGTCCCCCTATTCCACCCTGGCAAGCTGCCTCTTCCCTGGACTGAACAAGCCCAGCTCTTCCAATGGTCAAAGGGCAAGAGCTCCAGCCCTGAGCATCTTGTTGGTCCTCACCTTAACTTGCATTGGAAATCCAAGGACTGTAGTCTAAAAAGTGCAGAGTAAAAGGGAATAATGACTGTCCTTGATTAGGTTACCACATTCCTTTTAATAGTGCTGTGATTCTGTCAGCATTCTTTGCTACCAAGGCACAAAGCTGTTTCATTTCATCTTCCTGACTATCAAGACAACATCACCAAAGCCCCTTTCCTACTAGTCAGCCCCAGGCTGAGTGGGGTGCAAGAGGCTCGGCCTTCCCAGCTGCAGAACTTTGCAATCGTCCTGGTTGAATTTCATAAGGTTCCTGTTGACACATTCCTCCAGCCTGTGTCTGGTTCCTATGCCTAAACCCCTGTGGATGGCCCCTACTCTTGAGTCTCTAGACCGTTACCTCCAATTTCCTGTCATCTGTAAATCTGATGAGAGTACACTCTGTCCCAAGACATCCTCAAGATCACTGTTAATATGAAGTTTTTTTCTTACTAGGTAAGTTTCCAGATGAAGCACTTTTTTCTTATATATCTGACGCTGCTCTTTGTCAGAAATAAAAGGTATAAAATCTCTGCAAAGAAAAGGTAATTTAGGGTTGTATTTTGTCCCCAACTCTATAAATTGTAATCAGCAACTAATAGTTTCAACCAAACACTGCATTTTTCAACACCTATGGTTAACAATTGTTAGATACCTTTGCCCAAGATTATTTTCCTGGCTTATGACCATGCCTTAGATTTTATCTTCAAATAAAGGTTAAATATCCTTTTCATGCCACTTTCTTCAAGTTCTTTTCCATCCTATTTTTCCATATCAAAAAAGCCTGTAAAGTCATATTAATTCTTGAGAAATTTTCAACAATCACATTAGTTTTCCGTAGCCATAGCTGGGAAACTACACTACCTTGGCTTCATCTTTATATTAGTTTCCGAGCTCCTTTCCGAGCTACAAATCCACTGTTCTATCCCTTTATTAGATTTCAAATAATCAGAGTCATGGGGACCAACAGCACTGGAAATATCCTCCTGAGTTAATGATTTCATTCATACTACCACAATATACTTTTATAAAATCTATACAAATATTGATCATGTTTCTTCTTCAGTAGTTGCTGAACTGAAGTTATTTTCTTTCCTGCAGATTTAGTTTCTAAGACTCACACAGATATTTTCCTTTTTCCTCTTTTGTCTAAAGAAAGAAAGATTGATCTCAATTCCTCTTTTTCACAAAAGTCTATGAAGTTCAAAGTTTTGCACATCTGCAAGGAAACTACAAGGTTTCCATCTATGTTTATGTTGAAATGAAAACAACTCCCTTAATTCTAGAAACCAGCAACATGATACCAAAACAGTATTAGAAAATATTTTAAAATAGCTTCAGTTTCTTCTGGTAGTGCTCCGGATGTAGTCAGCTCTGTACACATGGGTGGAGACACAGACTACATTCCTACAGACTGCATTCAGCAGATGGTGACTGAGAGGAAATGGGCACAATGGTTATGTACCAAACCTCAACATTTACCAAACCAATAAGAACCAGCTCTCACATGTAAGTGTGTACAGGTATTCATGGATACATAGCAAACAAAATACTGGCAGTTTAGTTTGCCATGTTTGCAATCATTCATATGTTATCAGAAAGGAAATAGTGACAGGAATCAAGGTAAAATTTGAAACACCACAAGTTCACGTATACAAACAGACACTGAGTGAAACACACATTAGTTAACAAGGCATTAGTGTTGAGACTGAAATTTGTATGTGAAACTCAAATCTCTGCTTATCATAAATGTCTGAACTCCAATTCCCAGTTTTGTATACCACCACTTCAGAGAACAAATAAGTGTTCCACATTAAACTGTTTACAGATTAATTACTGTCAGGTATATGAGTAAAAGTCTTATTTAATGTCTTATTTAATTAAGTTATATTTGCTAAACTGATGTCTGCTCAAAGTGGTCAGCTAAAAGACAACTACAGCAAACTGAGTAGGAGTTGACAAGTCAAGCAGATCAACAACATCAATATCAACTTCTAAAAAAGATAGAAAAATAAATTACAATTATGCTTTTAATATATTCTTTTAAGAAAAGACACCATGTTTTGAAGGTTTGGAGGTCCTGCATGTACTTGGGAACAAACAAATACTTTTTAGACTAGACAAGGAAAGTATGTGCAACTGGGAAGCATCCTATTCATTGAAGAAAAGGCTGTGAGAAGGAATGGTTGGTTGTACTTGAGCCACATTTGGCACAGGAATCAGTTTGGTTTACTGGAAATAATAGTTTAGATTGATATTAGGAAATACCAACTTTAAAATCATAAAGTACTGGAATAGAGAGATATAAAAATCTCCTCCACTGCAAAGTTTCCAGAGCAAATTTAGACAAATATCTGCCAGAAATGAACTTGCTGTACTGATCCTACTTAAGGCCTAGGGATGGACTCAGTTGGGCTTGCTTCCCATCTTATGTGTTAAGGACTCTAAGGTTAAATTTTATTTCTTTTTTAAAGGCGGGGGGAGGACACAAAAAAGAGTATGAATCAAGATGAAACACTTCAATGAAAATGAAAATTTACATAAATTATGTTTTTCCTCATAGGATGTTTCTTAATGTTTGGGTTCCAGGGGTTTTTATTTATTTGGAATGAACAGGGTGGGGCCTTTACCTACACACAGACTGACTTCTTTCCTTGTTATATTGACCCTGAATAATGTCAAATTTATGTTTTAGAGAGATGGGGAAATCACTTACCAAATCCTAAGAAAGCTGGAATATTCCCCCTACTCTAAACCTTGCAACTCTCTAGTCATCCAGTCAACCAAAAGCCCTCAGTGCACAGTCGCTATCAATTAACAGCAAAGTAAAACAATTGGCCACATTTTAAGTAAGTAAAATATTTCTGATAGCGCATACTTTACCAGTTATGTCGTGCTGTTTGAATGACTCACTGTAGATTTGATACTGATTAGGGCAATGTTTCTTCAGCCATTTGCAGACATCCTGCTGGGTCCATAATGCCACAGGCTTGGTCAGCTTCACAGTCCCGGACTAGAAATACGGAATGAAGAACAGAAATTATGTTTAGTCCACACACAAGTTTCAGAAATATTTATCTGTGACGTCCTTATATGACATTCAAACATCCATGTTCAAACTCACAAGAGGGATGTCCATTTGTGTCCCAGCTTGGATATAACCATGGAAAATCACAAATATCCTCAGGCCTTAGCTACAATTAGGAAAGATCTTGCAACAAAGGCCTTTAGTGAAAACAAGCCTAAAGACTGATTCTGGCTGGGAAAAGGGCACAGAGGGAGAGCTGGGGATATTGGTTCATACTGAGCATTTCAGCTGACATTGTTTGAGCCACGTTTATAAGCAGCTATAGTTTTTCTGCTTCCTTTTTACCTTTAACCCTCCTACAATCACCTTTATATGAAATAAATAGGACTCCCGCTTAAAACAGTTGCTCCTTTATAATAAATAATATTTTTTAAAATAACTCTGTTCAATACTTTCCAGCAAATTCAGTTTTATAATAGATGAAGTTTATACATAAACATTCCTAAATTAAGTTGTCTGCATTATTATATGTACAAAGTCACATTTCATTTAATCAAACAATTCACCTCTGCACATACACTTTTTTAACCATACAAGAATGCTGAGTTCTAAGCAATCTGAACTGCAAAAAAAGAAAATATTTTAAATTTTTTTTTTTTTTTTTTTTTGCAACACAGCCTGCCTCGGAAACTAAGAAAATCTTAAACAGATGGGTGGTTATTACCAACAATAAATGTTTAACACTGGACATTGCTGGTGTTAAGTGAGTATGAACACCAGTGTATTCATTTACTTCATTATTTTGCCAAGGAACTGAGTCCGGGAAATAAAATCAAAGTGTCTCTGTTTCCATGCTATGCATGCAGAGTACTGTCCTCCAGCTCTCTGGTGGTGTAGAAGGTTCAAGAGAAGTTTTTCTGCACAAATCTGAGGTGAAGAGGAATGTCATCCCAACCCACCTTCTCCATTAGGGCTCATGGCAGATTCCTTCAATATTGGCAGCCAGGGTTTATCCCAGCATTTACACAGATGTACTCTGTCAGACAGATCTTTTCAAAGTTGCTTTAAAATTTTTCATTACTGGAAGCCCTAAGGACCAAAGCAGTTTTAAGCCAGTGCTTTGCATGTTCTATTAAGTCCATAAAGTATGTCATGCAAAGATAGTAAGTTAGGGCCAGGGAACATGGCAGATCTAAAAATCCAGCAGGCAAACGTGCCTTGAATTTCTCATGTCCAGTTGTCCCTATCTCTTTTTTATTGCCTATGTAGAAGTTAGATAAATAGCAGGAAAATTACAGTTGAATATATAACACAATGCTCAGTTTTTTTTGATTTAAGGAAAAATACACTCATCAGAAACACTAATAAGCATCATCCACACTTAGAAACATCACAATAATGCAAAAAACCACCCCAAATAATCATTCTCATCTCGTGCTGCCACCCACAAACATACAGCAGGCAGGAGCTTGACAGACCTGGCATCCACAGAGAAAGAAACTTCCAGAGGTGTTGAGAGTGTACTATAACCAGGACAGCCCTTGCTCTACTTCTGCCCTTTCTGAGAAGCTCATCAGTCTTCTACACATACAGGAACCCCCAGAGGTCTGGACAAGGGGCAACCTCTGTAGGGAGAGCAAGTGCCCTGTAACTCCTCCAAGCACCTCATGCAACTTGGAAGATCAAAGGCCCCTCTTTGAACTTTCTGGCCTGCTTGTTACTGCCATTTGGGCCAGAAAAGAAACTGAATTTCAATGAAGAGCCCAATCTTATGGTATCAGCTGATTTTTATTGCATGCATACATAAATGCATGTCCTTCACAAATACATCAATGAAATAAACAAGTAAAAATAGCTGTATAACACTAACAGTCTCTCTGATTCCAGAGAAATCCCTGAACAACAGGGTCAAGACTTCAATGTCTATCTTTATATGAGTTACTGCTTAAAGGTATTTCTTGAGCACTGGAATTTCTGAAGACTTTTCTCTAGTCTGTCAGGCCTTGAAAAATAAATTGTTAATGGGCTTTTCTTGTACATCATAAAAATACTAAATGACAAATATCTGTATATAAATATGTATAATTAGCTGTAGATTTACAAGCTATTTATTCCAAGCTGAAAGTACACAAGCAGTGCCAATGTTTGTTTTAACTGAGAGGCTGCTCTTTTCAGTTCAGCAACTATTGTCCTCTTAAAAGCGATAAGCACCATCATATTAAATAGCTGAAGAACAAGTTTATCAACAATTACAGTACAAATTTAACACATCCCTCTGTGCCCATGGAACTGAAAGATGGTTTCAAATGTAGCTTTTAAGCTGTGCAGTATACAGATCTCTGCACTGCAAACATACATGCTGACTTCTTACTGTCCAGTGTTCAGAATTATGACAGAAACATGTTGCACTTAAGCTTATAAATGCAGTCCAAAGAATACATATTTACACTGACACCATCAAATATTATGTTTAATTTTCTAATTCATAAGGACTTAATGAGCTAGAGGAATACATGGGTTTAAAAGCAATGGTTCCAGAAAGTATATTATAGTAACTTTCATTTTTGGAACATCATACCCAAAATTATTTTCCAACCAGATCCTCTAAATGAAAAGCTCTTAAAAATATGCTTCCTTCTCACAACATTAATTTCTTAGTTTCTTCCCTGCTCTAAAGTTAGATCCCATTCAAAAACAAAATCCCAGTAAACCAAGGAAAATTACCTTTACCATGAACATACCTATTAAATGAGTCTTCTGCCATTAACTACATGTAAATTATCTAGACAGGTGGAAAACACACTATGTTTTACTTTATTTCTGTTTATCAGCTCCATCAAACAACTGGCCCAAACTGATTAAAACAAAATAATACATCAACAATTATCTTTGGACTGGCCTTCCCTTCCTTTTTCCTGGCATAACCACATCATAAGAACACCTTTGCTGGCAACCCTTTAATATTTTTAATCCCGCCAAACACTATGCCAACTCATGTGCAAGATTCAGATCTAATGAGAATAAGTCTTCAATATTCTCATCTTTTCTTGTATATTTGAAGGAAACCCTGTTTCTTCCGGATTTTGTGACAAACTCTTCTAAATTGCCAACCCCAGTTTTTGCTATGTGTATCTCAAAGTATAAAAGTGACTCCCAAGAAGAAGAAAAAACTATTGTATTTACTTCCATGACAAAATTTTGCGCTCTCCTTGTTCCATGGTGCAGAGAAGACAGTATTTAAAAGCATCAGCCCACAAATAAATAAATAAATAAATAAATAAATAAATAGAAACTATGGCGTGTGCATTACCAAAGAGTGTATTTCAGTGTTGAGAAGAGCATTAGCAACCAAACCCTGCTATTGCTAAACAATGAATTACAAGTTCTCTCTTCAGCCTTTCAGGTGCAGTTTACCAAGCCTGCCAGTTTTGAAGGTCAATTAATTCACCAGAATTTCTTTATCATATTTCACTCCAGAAAGAAAGAAAGGCTTCTGTATTTTTGAGTGACGAAGGATTCAACTTCATTATTAAAACTACTTTATATACCATGAGACAAGTTATTTAAAAGAGCTTCTCTAACTCTAACATTTTGTGTATTTACAAGGCTGCTCAGATTACAAAATCCAGGGATTTTGAAGATCAGGGGCCTCAGTCGAACAGGGCTGCAGGTCTGCTAGAAGAAGGCTGCCTCATACTATTTGTAACATCCAGTTTGCCAGCATACCGGTCCTGACATATAAGCAAAGTCAATGAATATTTGCATTCAAATGTATCCGAAGTCAGACCCTACACAGTTTCTGTATGAAACAGACTGATAAAAGAGGCACTGCTGAAGGCATTAAAGCAGATCCTGCTCCCTCCCACATACATCTTGGGAGACTCTGCTCTGGAGCTTCCAGTTTAACTACAAAAACACAAAGCAGAACCAATTTTGTTACAGCTGTGTTGGTCAAAGGACTGTCATGGTTTAACCCCAGCTGGCAAGTAAATACCACACAGCTGCTCATTCGCTCCCTCCTCCAGTGGGATGGGGGAGAATCAGGAAAAAAAGTTAAACTCCTGGGTTGAGATAGGAACATTTCAATAAGTGAAGCAAAGTAAAATATAATAATGCTTATGATAATTGTATCAATAAAATAATAATTGTAATTAAAAGGAAGGGGAGAAAGAGAGAGAAATAAACCCCCAGTAAAACAAGTGATGCCCTGCACAATTGCTCACCACCTGCTCACCAATGCCCATCCTATCCCGAGCAGTAATCGGCCCCTTCCAGCCAACACCCACCCCAGTTCTCATACTGCACATGACATCCTACAATATGGAATATTCTTTTGGCCAAGTCAGCTCAGCCCTCCTGGCTATGCGACCTCCAAGCTTCTGGTGCAGATCCTCAGGAACAGGGCATGAGACACTGAAAAGTCCTTAACTTGGGGTAAGCACAGCTTCACAACAACCAAAACGTCAGTTTGTGACCAACATTATTTTCATATTAAATCCAAATCACAGCACTGTACCAGCTACTAAGAAGAAAACTAAGTCTATTCCAGCCAAAATCAGGACAGGACACAAGCACGGCAAGGCTGCAAGGAAAAGCACCATCGTTTATTAGACCAACAGTGTGGGTCCTGCCAGCTGTGTTTCAGACACAAATCTTTGTACAGAGTAGATGTGGGTACAACTGCTCAGTGTTGAACCACGACGTTAAATCAGTCAGGCACGTCGAGGGAAAACAGGGCTGAGAGCTGCAGGGGGGAAGTTTGAGAAGAACAAAGGAAAGAAGCAGTAAGGTTGTTGCCACCTAGCAGGGACAGAGAGAGCAAGATGGGTGGCCATCACCCTGAGAATAATACAAGGTCAGCTGGGGCAGGAAATACGACGGCTGATTTGGAGGGGGCACCTTCAGGTCTTGGGTGTTAAACCATTCTCTGGAGGTGTAATGCTCTCCCAACTGCCCCTCTAAGCACGTGGCTCTATGAGCCCGTA